CATCTCTGACCTTTTTATTTTATATTTTGAGACAGGGCCTGGCTAAGTTAGCAAGTTGTTTAGTTGCTGGACACCTGGGTGTGCGGAGTAGAGATAGACACCCAAGTTTTCTCATCTCTACCAGCAAGACAGTGGCTTGGTCCTCTTAGGCAACCTCAAGAGCAATGAGAAAGGCAGGCGAGCAGGGAAATGCGAGGGCAAATATGGCTGACCCTCGTCAGGACACTGGGATCGTCAGGGCCAGGACTCAGTAAAGAGGTCCCGTGCGTTTTGTGGCGGGAAGCTTCTAAGGTGGCGGTCAGCAGTGCCTGCCTCCTCCTGATTCAGCCTCTCCCATTCATGTGGGCTGAACCCAGGACTTTCTCCTAGCACATGGGGTACAGCAGAATCCCTTCCATGCCTGTGCCTTGAAAAATGCTATTTTCTCCACTGCTCACTCCCTTCTCACACCCACGAAGCTCCGGTGGTGAGACCAACAAGCCAGGAAGGAAGGCGGCCTCTGGGGACCGGCCAGTGGTGCCAGAAGGGCTCAGGCTGACAGCCCCCAAGGCACAGGGTCCAGCCAGGGGTCCTCACAGGAGCTGTAAAGAGACCCAGCTCCCAGTTTGCAGAACGGAGACTCTAAGCCGGTGCCTTCTTTTCTGAAGACCCAGAGAAGCTGTGTGTGGATCCCTCACCCACAGAGTCTGAGATAAGAAATGCGTGTTGCTTCAAGCCACGAAGTTTGGAGCTCGCCACCCTGTGGAGTCCCAGAAGAGAAGAGAGGGCACAGTCCTGAGGAGAGAGTGACGGGGATGGTCCGGTGTGGCAAGGCCGGAGGGCGCGTTAACTTCTCCGGGGAGAGGCAGTCATGGACTTTGCAAGGACGGCGTGGGCGCACGCTGGCGCAGCTGACAGCCTGGGGCGGGGCGAGCCTCCCGCGGGTTTAATGCAGATCTGAGGGGGTGCTGCCACATGCAGCCTCTAATGACTGCTGCCGGTGGAAGTGCCGCCTTTTGAGGATAAATAATGTGACCTGGTTTAGTACTGTATTTCTTGCTCACATCCTTGTCTTAATCGTATGACCCTGCACTTTTAGACCCTTTTGAAGGCCTCTATTAATGAATTCAGCATCTGGCACTGCAGTGCGATCCAGATTCCTTACTCCCTTCCTCTGGACTCTGCTCCCAGGGATGCACACCCCAGGCTCCTGCTGTGCGTACTCCTTCAGCATCACCTGTCATCTTTGGAGCTGACTTAGGAGCAGTGTGGAGAATCTATACCCAGTCTCCACAGATACACCGTCAAGTTCCTCCCTTGCTCGAGTTTGTTCCCTACAGAAGACTTCATGCATGGTCACATCATATTTTCTCCGGTCTTAACTCTTCCCGCACAGCTCTGTGTAGGCAAATCTGAAAGGCTAGAGATCTGCCGCTTAATCGCCATGCAGATTTGAGCAAGCGAGTTCACTTCTCCGAGCCTCCGTTTCTCTCAGGTTTGTTCTGAGGAGGATGAAAGGCGCTGACGTCCGTGAGAACTGAGCTTGGCAGGGACTCTTCTCTGAGCTCTTAGCTACTATAAAGAAGCAGCTTACCTTCTGCCTTCTCTACGCATGGCAAACCCCAAGCCACCCTCCAGGCTGCCAGGCCAGCTGCCTGAGACACGTCATGAATAGCCTGGAGAGCCAATTTGCTTTCAAAGAGAAACAGGCAGAAGGAATAACAACAAGACAGCCAGCAGCGTGCCCAGCCCTCCGCCAGGACAAACTTGGCACTTGGCAGTAGCAGCAGCAGGGTGGGCACCGCCCAGAGTGTGTCTCTGCAGGACCTCACAAGCTCCAGTCTGTCCCCAGCCCCCGCCCTGGGGAAGATCAGCTTGGGGTTACCCCACGCCACCCCATGTCCTGGCCTATTTTAAAATCAGAGTTGCCTGAAATTATCTCACTCTGATTCTTTAAATGTCACCAAGGCTTGCATCTTCGTCTGTGAGTAAAGGTGGTTTTCTCTCTAATTCTCTCTGGAGGGGGCAGAACAGATGGGCAGCTGCCTGAGAAAACTATGCAGGACACTAAGCAACTGTTGCCTCCACTCCATCAAAATGAAACTTAGAGAATGACTTGGTCCTGGCTGCTGGCCTGTGGGTTATAATCCAGGACTGTCCCCCGTGATTCTTACTTTGCGTTTTCCTTCTGGAAGCGAAGAATGGGGCTCCTGGGACACTGGGTCTGGACCTACCCTGGAAGGTGATGCGGCTGGCTCCATTAGACTGCTAAACTACGGGTAATTAACTCCTGGGTTCCTGAGACAGGCCCTCCCTGATATCCCTACATAGCTCCCTTCTCCCCATCCTTTGCATATTCATTACTTGTTTTCTCAATAACCTGTTAATTGTCTTCTGAGTACTCTGTGACATCATTCTGTTTATACTTACACTGGTGGGCCTTCCTTGCTTCCCCTAGAATGTGATGTTATAGACAACATCTGCAGCTAACCTGCTCACCTTCTGTCCCTTATCCCCCTTTGATGGATGAATGATTGTTATCCCCACACTACAGAAGAGCAAACCAAGGCCCCCATCAATAAAATAGGTCCCCCAAAGTCATAGAACTAGTCCATGGTGGGACCAAGATTACCATCTGGTACCACTCAGAATGGTAGCCACTGGCCATGTGTGGCGACTGAGCATTAAACTGTGGCTAGTGCAAATTTAGGTAGACCAGAAGTATTAATACCTCCTGGGTTCCAAAGACTCAATGCTAGTTAAATGCCACTGATCCAAAATACTGGGGACCAAAGTATCTCAGAGTTTGGAGTTTTTCAGATTTTGTAATATTTGCATAGACATTACTGGCTGAGCATTCCTAGTCAAAAAATCCAAACTCCCACAGGAGTCAACACGATGCTTGAACTATTTTGGTGTTTGGCATGTTTCAGATTTTGGCTTTTTTGGATAAGGGATGTTCAAGCTATGTTCTTTTTTTAAAGGAGAACGTGAAAATATTCCATTAATGATGACAGTGTAAATAATAATGCTTATATATTAGGTAAATAAAATTTATTTCAGTGGCTACTTTTTACTTTTAAAAACATGGCTACTAGAAGATTTAAAGGTTTATGTATGTGGCTCAAGTCATATCTCCATCAGACAGCACAGATTGAAATCTTTAATCTCTTAAGTGTAAATAGACCTGAAATAGTACCTTTATTAATACCTATAAAATTCAGTCAGCCATCCAATTTAGAATTCCCTCAAATGCTTTCTAAAGTTCATTTGTTACAAAATAAAAGCAGTGGCCCTTCAATTCACCCACTTACTTTGGGTATCTACTCTATGCAGGCCACTCTGCAAGGTACTTGTTAGTGCAACTGGAGCCAGAATACATCAGAAGGGACAGGAATCCACCATGAACTACTGTAAGCAAAGAATACAAGGAGATGATCCTTTGGGAGACTCTGGGGATAGCTCATACATTTGAAAGAAGAGTTGAATGAACGGAGCCAGAGGTGGACTCAGCGCCCTCCTTCCTCTGTGTTGCCTGCCTGTGTGTGCTGGCTCCACTCCCTCCTCCCTCCTTCCTCCACGGCCTGGGCAGGTGAGACGGCAGCTCTCAGGCTTCTTGCCCCCAGTTTCATCCCTAGAGTCCAAGGGGAGCCTTGAGCACCAATTCCCAAGGTAACATTCATTGGCTTGTGTTGACCTTGTGTAAATTTCTTGGACCAATCACTGATGGGGTGTCAATGATTGACAGCTGGGTCACAGCTCACCCAGGTGAATAACTGGGTGGGTTAGACCCCCACCAACACTGAGCAAAGGGAGCCAGGGCAACAGTATTCCCCAGATCAAAGGGGATTCTCTTACAGTGAAAGGAGCTACGCTAAGCAAATAGAACAAAGTCACAGTGCCTAGCTGGGTCCCACCGTCTTCCCCGTGGAAACAAATTTGCAAAATTCTAAAAATTTTGGTTGAACGTAAAGATGGACCTTATGCTGAGGCTCCAAGATATTGGAGAAATTCAACAGAAGTATTCAAAGTGAATAGAAGTCTTTTTGTGGGTGGCATATGGAAGTAAGCAGATGCAAACATGAACGACCTTTCGAAACTCGCTGCCTCTGGCCATTAAGACTAGATTCAAGACAGCAACCACTGAGAGCAGATACCAGAACGAGGACTGTACCTGACCTCTTTTCACAGGTGGAATATTGTTGCTAAGAATTTATTGAGCACTAACAGTGCGGAACATCGAATTAAAAATAGTTCTGGTCTACTAGACAACAATCTCATCTAGGTAATATAATCTGTTGAACAACATGCCCCTGAACAATCCCTTTAAGAGAAACTGAAAGCTCTCCTGTTCATAACAAAAATGTCTTTTTTATTATTATTGCAAAAGATAACTTGTTGGTTCCTACACAATAAAGTGTGCTCCATTTTGCTTGGTGTCAAACCCCAAATTTGCATCCTCACCCAGTGAAGCAGTCAGCTCATCTTGTCAGCGCCCCAGTCTTGGAGAGCAGAGCCTCCTTTGCCCCCTCGTCATGGGAGTCGTGTTTGTTCACATTTCATTAAAATTGGGGAAGTTGGGCTTCAGGACGGGAAACATAATTAGAGTTGAAAATACAGACACCAAAGGGATCTTGAAGTAATTTATGAGACAATCCAACCATGCTGAGACCTCGGTGAATATGCTGATACATCCTTCATAAAGAGATAGTTTTAAAGGTATGAACTCACATCGATTATTTGCTTTTTCCTTTATTTCCGAAAAGGTGATGTATGAGCTTACCTTATTATTTTCTCTCCGGCTGCTGCTCCATTTCACCAAGACAAAGAGGTGAAACTCTAACTTTTCAGCTAGATGGTGGAGTCTCCTCTAAAGTATAGAGTCAAAAAGAACTGCTCTTTGTTATGCATGCCTGGAACATTATGAAAATAGAGTCAGGTTTCTTGGCTGGAGGAGCTCGGGGAACTGGGCTGGAGACTGGGGTTGTCTTGGGCGGGAACTCAGACCGTTGGATAGTGTTCATAACCACTGGGTTCTCAGAAGCCTCTGAGCCTGTGTTTTCATGACCTCTGCTCTGCTGTACCTCCTGGAAGTCAGACAGGTGGGCACAAGAGACAGGCTTTATATTCAAGATGCCTCTCTTAGAGGTGCGGGTGAGCAAGCTTGGAGTTTTGTTTGTATCGGTCCTCATTAAACAGATTTTCTGATTTGGAACAAATTGAGGCTTTGTACAAGTTCTTAAAACTTATTTCTCCAACATACATAGCCTCTTTGGGGTGAAGGTCCAGAGACACCTTAAAAAAATGTGCGGGGTGGCTGAGGGACATGTTTTCCATCCTGGAAGCGTTCATGTTTAATTAAACACGTAAATTAAACATTTTTACCCTGCTCATTTTAAATCCCAGGTAACTTATACCTTGCCTTTCTGGCACCCAAAGCAGATCTACATGTCTAGCTTTGCAGGTGATGGTGACTCACTGCTCCAGCTAAGGGGGACTGGAGACAACACACACACCGGCTCTGAGTCTGACCAGGACATAGAGCTTCTGGATCCTTGAGTAACTTCCAGCTACCCTTGGCCAGGCATATCTTAAAGGGATCTTCACAGAGTTTTGCTTGTGTTCATTTGAAATTTTATGTCTGAGATTATTGTAGAGACAAAAGAAGAACATGCAGATAGCTGAGTAACCCTCGTGACTGCTTCCCAGGAGACAACGACAGCCATGGCGTTAACAACCGTGAGATTACAATACCTGCTTCAAAATATACCTTGAATGGCTCTGTTCCATTGAGGCAGTAAAAGCAACCAGAGCTTTTAGCAATAAAATCCTCAGTTGAATTTTTCTGTATTAATTCTGATGTTTTTCCTGTTCTGTAAGATATACGAGAAGCTCTGTTTTAAGCCAGGCTCCATTACTTTGCCTTGATGTTTTGGGTATCTGGAAAACAAGTAATTTGCTTGTTTTATCTCAGGCTGAAAGAAGAAATAACTTGGTTTTAAATGTCTGAGACTTTCCTCCCTGTAATCAAGCACGAGCCAGTGAGTCACGGTGAGTAGGAGCTTGGAGGGAGGCGCTCTCTGTCACATCCCTGTCTACAGCCTTTGCACACTAGCTATCCAGCTAGCTCTACCTGTCGCTCCCCCCCTTGTGCGCTTCTCTGAGTATCTCCTACTCACCATTGCTCAGCTTATTCTCATGCCCAAGCACTCCCCGGCCAGCCTTAGTCCTCGGGGCACACTCAGATCTTGCTCGTGAGAATTCTAATTCCTCTATCGGGCGTGTATACAGTCTTCGCGGGGCAGTTACTGTTAGATGAGGGTAGCTCTAGGGCCCGGCACAGAGCTTCACCCTCAGTAGGTACTCTGTAGATACTTCGTTGAAGGAATTGGTCTATTCACTGGTGTTGCATATAGTCTTGGGGCCCAGAGTTCCAGCTTAGCAGGCACTGGAAAATAGATCCCAGAGTAGACTTGAAGGCCAAATCAGCTCTTGCCTCGAAACAGGGCTAATCTGGCCTATGATCATTTAAAACTTCCAAACCCATTATCCAGGTTTTGGTGACCTCTGCCAAGTGAACTGACCCCTTGCAGTGCTACTTCCCACATAAGCTGTGGAAACTGTGGGGATATGTGTGCTGCTAAAGCAGCCAGCCTGTGAGAAGGCACCCCCGGTAGTCTGTACCTCTTCAGTGGTTCTCAGTGTCAGGCTGCCTCTGTTGGCTTCCCAGGCCACTCTGAACTCCACAGCTAGGTCCTTAAAGGCTCTGCAGCACGTATTGTGAAATCATTTATTTATTTAGTTAGCTAGATTTTTAGTTAGTTAGTCAGTCAGTTAGTTAGTTAGTTAGTGATACTAGGGGTTAAACCCGGAGCCTTTGCATTGAACTACATCCCCAGCCCTTTTTATTGTTTATTTTGAGATAGGGTCTTGCTAAATTTTTAAGTTTCCCAGGCTGGGCTGCATCTTGGAATTCTCCTGCCTCAGCTTCCTAGAGTTCTGGAATTATGAATGTGTCCCACCAGGCCCTAGTCTTTTAGATGCATGCTTTGCCCAAATCCAGTAGCCACGCTGGAGGACACGGGCAGCCCTGTGGAAGTGCCTGTGGGACAGGCGCTGAGGATGTCATCAACGCTGCCAGGGAGCCACGTGAGCACGCCACCTGGGGAGTGCTGCCTCTGGCCACAGAGTCACCTGAGAACCTCACGCCCAGGGTTTTCAGCGAAGCTGAAACAGGTGAGGCAGCCTGAGGTGTGCCTTGCCTCGGCACCGCCTCTTACAAAACAGTCGCAAAAGGCAGGACACTTATTTGTCCATCAAATGTTGGTTGAAAGCTCACACTTTGAATATTCGTTGCAACTAGACTATTGCAACAAATCCTTTATCCTCTCTTCATTCAGTTAAAATCAGCTTCTTGGATCAAATGATAGAGTCAGAAGCCTCATCCCATTAGTAAGCCTGTCTTTACGTTGTTCACAATTCATTGCTAATACTCAGATTGCTTCCAAGGTGGCTCTATAATTTCTATTCATTTAGCAAGTAGGCTCCCAAATTCCCTTCAAGAGAAATTCTTACTTTCCATTTATTTTATTTTTTCTCAGCGCACGTTTGTAATACATAATGATTGCATTCCTTTTGGAGGGTTGTACATGTACACAACACATCTCGCTCTTTCCATCTCCTTTTCCTTCCCCTTTTCCAGTCTCTGCATCCCCTGATCCCCTTCCCATTCTTTTATTTTGCTCTTTATTTATATTTTGTTTTACTCACATAAGAGAAACCATGTGATATTTGAGCTTGTGTGTCTGATTTATTTCACTTAACATGGTGTTAGGGTGCATCTATTTTCCCACAAATGACACAAGTTTATTCTTCTTTACCACAGAGTAGTACCCCGTTGCATGTAAACACATTTTCTTTATCCATTCATCTGTTCATGGGCATGTAGGCTGCATCCAAGATTTAGCCATTTTGATTTGTGTTGCTATAAACATGTGCATGCCTGTATCACTATAATATAATATCGAAGTCTTTGGGAAGATACCTAGAAGGAGGGTAGCTGTGGCAAATGGAATTCTGTTTTTAGTTTTTTGAGGAATCTCCACAGTGATCTCCATAGTGGTTGTACTAGTTTACATTCCCACCAACAGTGTAGAAGGATTCCTTTCTTTCCCTGTAGCTTTGTCAGCACCTTTTATTTGATTTCTTGATGACTGCCATTCTTTCTGGAGTAAGTTAGAATCTCAGTGTTGTTTTAATTTGCTTTTCTCTAGTGACCAGAGATGTTTAACATTTTTCCATGTATTGATTGGCCATTTGTACTTTTTCTGAGAAGTATGTATTCATTTCAGTTGACCATTTTTTTGCTTGGGTCATTTATTTTTGGGTCTAATATTGAGTTTTTTATATATTCTAGATATTAGTCCTCTGAGGAACAGCTGGTATTTTTTTCCCCATTCTGTAGGTTGTCTTCACTCTGTTGGTTGTTTCTTTTGCTGTTCAGAAGATTTTCAATTTGATATGATCCCATTTGATGGTTCTTGGCATGATTTCTTGGACCACTGGGATTCTACTCAAAAAGTTTTTGCCATTCTTATGTCTTCAAGAGTTTTACATATTTTATCTTCCAGCAAGTTAAGTGTTTCTATTTTAACATATGGGACTAGACTCAATCTTCTGCATGTGGGTAGACAGTTTTCCCAACACTATTGTTAAACTTAGAATCTAAATTCTTTTTTTTTTTTTTTTTTTTTTTCTAGTACTGGGAATCAAACTCACGACCACGCACTTGCCAGGCAGGGGCTGTGCTGCTGAGCTGAATCCTCAGACCCTAGAATCTAAATTCTTAAGGCGAGTCTAAGTCAGACTCTAGAGACCCACTGCTCACTCTTCAGATTAGTGTATGAGGCATGATTTTAAAGTACGGTTAATATTTTACTATAGTAAAGGACACATTGCAATTAATTTCCTTTGAAACACTCCCCTTGATTTGAGCACACTTATCCCTTCCTTCTGGCCCCTTTCGGAAGCAGTTCTGGAAGTCCTCCTTCGTCAGTGTCCTCAGTTGCACTGTTGTGGTTGCCTCAATGTCCCGAACTGATTAAAAACGCTTACCTTTCATGGTCATTTTGACTGTAGGGAAGAGCCAGAAGTCACCCAGCGCCAGATCCGGTGGACATGTGGATAAGGATGCACCGTCACCTTTTCACAAGGCAGCCCTTCAGCTGGATGGCAGCAATATTCACTGGATTCTTTATCATACATCTAAAGGACACCCAGGAAAGAACTGCTTCAGGAGTGGCAAGCATGATGGGCTACATGTGTTCAAAGGCAAGGGAGGTATTTTGTGGGGGACTGTGGCAATGTATCTCTTGCTGTAACAGTTTTGTTTAACTTGAACACTCACTAGTATTGCTATCACCCCTTGTATAGCACTGATTCCCTCCAAGGGAAGGAGGCATCCTACTCTAGACTGAAAACCTGTCCCCCTCCTCCTCTGGTGGGTGTCCTGCCAATGACCCCTGCACCATGAGCGCCTTCCCACGCTCCTTTCAGTCCTGCGTCATCTGTGGACTTTGCATATTTATTTCCCTTCTCTCAAGGTGTGTTTTGACCTTGATAAATGGATTCAAGGAGAAGTGGACTTTGTGCAATGTGGGAGTCCTATTCATGAAATCTGTAAGTGTTATTCTCTTAGAAATAGGTAAATTTCAAAAATAATGGTGTATTTTTTCCCCCTCCTGCTTTGGATTTGCTCAGTCCTCGCCCAGTTCATGGTCTCCTCCTGAACTTTCCTAGCAATGTCTTGGGTGTGTCCCGGCAGCCCTTAAATTCTTCTCCAGAGAAAGAGAAAAGGAAAGCACCATTCCCCGTTGGCTGGAGTAGAGGCAGGCTGGTGTGGGGTGCGGGAACAAAGGGGTGAGGCGACTGAGCTGGGTGTGCAGCCTGGGAAGCCAGGCTCATGGCCTCCAGGATCTGCACTGCATCAAGATCCCGGCCACACCCACCCCACTCAGCCAGCCGGGGTGTGAGCGAGCGCTGTCTGACCCTGCAGTCACCCTCCAAGAGGAGGCAGCCTGAGGCCTTGTGGCTGGCAGTGAGCATTCTGTACTTTTCCTCTTATGGGAGGAAGCAGACCCTCGCAGCCACTCTTAACTCTGGGTAAGCAACTGGCTTGGTGGCAGAGAGCTCCAGTTTCATCACCAGGCTCCTTGTCTGTATTTTCATAAGTGGAAGTTCAGCTGCAGCCTCTGAGCCACTACATCTCTGCTGAATTCCATTTCTAGGACTTACCTAGCAGTGCACTTAAAGGAGCACTGATCACTTGGCACACACAATTTGTCTAGGCAGAGTTGTCATTGTTTCCGTTAAGAGGAGGGTGTTGAGCAGGAGGAGGTAATAGATGGGACATTGATGCCGCCTACAACCAGCCAGCAGTGGCTTCCCAAAACAGAATGTATATAGAAAGATTTTGCAGTGATTTCTACACTCAAGAGAAAAAGAACTCCATGATCAGCTAGTAATGTCTGCAACAGCACACATTAAGGAGCATGGTAAGGAACATGGTAGTGTGTGCGTGTGATGCATGTGTCATGACAGGTTGGAGAGTCATGTAAGACTAGGTACAGGTTCAGCATCATCACTTTCTAGCTGGAAGTAGACCCGCAAGTAATTCTTTTAGTCTACGGGGTCTCAGGTTTCCTGTCCACATAAGATGAATTTTACTTTGTGTTTATTTCTGGAATGGTCCTGTTTTTATCAAGGTGTCTGAATAAAAGTTGACAAATGGAAACTATAAAGTATACGAATAAAAACATAGCACTGTAGAAATATCACTGATGCCCATAGATAAAGCAAGTATGTATAAAGATCTTATTACTAAATTTAATAATGATTTCAAAAATGAATTCTCTTTTTGTGTATTCTTTGACACTGATGGGTTTTACTGTTCCGGGTTACTGTCCTTTAAGTTTTAGAGTATATCTTGCATCGGTGGAAATTTGGGTTAGGCTCCAAACTGTTACTTTGACTAGTGATTTCTTCATTTTAAAGCATACTCACTAGAGGCTAAAATATGAACAAATTTTATTACCTACTTACTTGGTGGTTTTACTTTCTGCCTTTGTGCATATTATTTAATGGTTCTAAGGCTCAAGTTTCTTACTAATTAAATGGGTGTATTTATTTTATCAGATTATTATGAGAATCTATTTAAATAACCCAATCTTTTTGAAAGAGATGTAGAAGTGCTATTTTAAGATATTAATGTCATAATTAGTCTTTTCATGCATACAGCTTCTGAATTTAGTTGAACTAGAGAAATAATTAAAAACAAATGTCAAGATATGGAAAGATAACAATAGTGATAGGAGTTGTCTTTTTCTAAGTCTCTTTTAGCAATAGGAGCTGGACTAGTTCCCATCTTAGCATCCAAGGATCAGGTTGCCAGGAAAATATGGAATTCCCAATAAATTTAAATTTAATTCCCAAGAAACAATCAGTGGAATACTTATAATGAGAAGTTATTTTTCATTTACCTGAAAATCAACTTTAATTGTCATTATGGCTTGAATACATCCTCCAAAAGTGCATGTGTTGGAAAGTTACCCCTCAAAGGTGTATGTCAATATTTGGAGATGGGGCCTTGGGAGGTGTTCAGATGAGGTCATGTGGATTAGTGAGGTCATGTGGGTTAGTGAGGTCATGTGGATTAGTGAGGTCATGTGGATGGGGCCCTCATGCTGGCACTTGTGGCTTTATGAGAAGAGGAAGGGAGACCAGGCTAGTGCGCTTGCCCAGCTTGCACGTGATGCCTTCTACCATGTCATGGTGCGGGGAGAAGGCCCTTGCCATGTGCTGGGCCCATGCCAGCACCCTGCTTTCCCACTCCCAGAACTGTGAGCCACATGAACGTCTACTCCTACAAATTGCCTATCTTCACGTAGTTTATTACAGCAATATAATGTGGACTGATACAATGGAGCCTCCTTTTCCTTCTCTTAACTAAATGGCAACTCTAATCTAGGGGTGCACAGGAGGCAAATGCAAGCACTTAGAACAGTAAAGCCCTCACAGGAACCCCTTGGTGAGTGTGGGCAGTTTGAGGCCATGCAGGGCAGAGGCTCCAAAGAGCAGGCCCCGGAGCCAGACTGCCTGCACCAGTCCCCCTGGGCTGCATGCTAGCTGGGTCTGAGGGCAGGACAGCATGCCTCTCCTTCCTTCGGTCTCCTTGTTAGCTGGGTCTGAGGACAGGACACCATGCCTCTCCTTCCTCCGGTCTCCTTGTCCCTCGGGGGGAGAATAACAGTCCCTCCTCCCAGGATTGCTGGGGTTATTACAGAGTTAACACCTGTGGAGGGTTTAGATCAGCATCCGAGACAGTGAAAGGGCTCGAGAGGGGCAGCTCTGTTAGTGTCATTCTTTGCACATCTGTCTCATTGACCCTGAGACTCGGGCATTGTTGCTCATTGTAATAAAGGTTTTCAGCCCTGTTGTCTCACAAAGAGGTACCAGGCAGCTGGGAATCTGACCTCATCCCCAGTGCTCAGAGCACTCTGCGAACTCTGGGGAGCACTAAGTGGCATTAGAGCGCACGGCGTCTGCAAAGGCACACAGCGTTACAAAGCAAAGGACCGCCTCTGCTCCCCCTCACTCCCTCCAGTGTGGGCGGGATGAGCATGATGCTTAGCAATAGGCAGAAGGGGAAGTTGGACTCCAAGTAGCGAAGTGATCTGCTCCGGGTCACCCAGCAGAATGGGAAGTAATGGATGCGACCCACACCCTTGGTCCCCAAGCCCGGGTTTGTTTTCTGACCTGTGACTCCTCCCTCATTATAAACACATTCCTCCATTAATGCTGCCGCCGAGGTCTGCTTTGGTTTTTATTAAATTAAGCGTGGCGCCCACATGCAGAGACCATCGCAGTCCCCTCATGCTGGATTTTTCTTACTGGTTTATCTTTAAGATAATAAAAACAACTCAAAAATCTAGCGAGAGATTAGCAAAACAAACTTTGCTGTTGTTTTCAAGCCATAACCAGAACAAGCAGCCACCATAATTGCTAGCAAATGCTCTATAACTGGAGCTGTTCCATCACCCTAACCACGAGGCCAGGCCGCTGCACCTCGGATGACCCTGAGGGTCACCGGCACGATTCCACCCGGGTCACCCTAGCAGCTTGAACTTCCATCTGCATTCCAAAGGGGCATATATTCTGTGCATCTCTTTTTCACTTCCTAAGACTATTCCTCATAGTGCATGTCTCCTGATCACCAGTAGTAAACAATATGCCTACCCTTTGTTTCGCTCCACTTTAAAAAAAAAGTCATAAGATGTTTATGGAAAGTGCTGAGTTTGGAGACTTTAAAGGGAAAGTGCTTTGAAAGACCAGGCAGGAGTCCAAGCTGACCGAAGGCCAGAGACTATCAAAGCTGGGTCTCCAGCCCAGCAGTGTGGAAGGCGCTCACAACGGCTGAGAGTCATGGGAGAGTTTTCTCCCCCTTGATATCCCTTCCTGGGGAGCAGAGGGCTGGCAGAGATAGGGGAGGAGCCGCAGAAGTTCTTCATCCTTTCTAGGAGAGACCTAGATGCTCCCCACTGGCAGTAAATTGTGTTACAGGATCAGAAAGAAAAAAGGTAATAAAATTTGTTCATGAAGATCCTTTTTAATTTAAAAAATATGCAGAGAAAATTAGAGAAAAAAAAGGCTGGGAGCACAAATACACAATGGACACGATGGTTATTAGGGATGGTTGCTCAAAATCATTTCACTTGCAAACAACAGAAGCTCAGCTGAAACTAGTTGAAGTGAAAAATAAAGATAAAACAAAAGTAAATATGTTGGCTCAGATAGAGAGGTTACTAGCTCCAGGTCTTCCAAGTGTCACTGGGGTCTCACTTGCTCCCCTGCTCTGTCTCCATCCAGAAGGCCTACCTCTGCTTTCTTCAGAAGCTTACAGCTATTCATCATTAGCTCGTAGGTCCCAGAAGATGAGAGCATCTTTCACCTGCTGCAGAAGTCCCTGGAGAGGTGTGGGGCTGCACTGCCAGGTCCCCTGTTCCACACCTGGGTAGGCTCAGCCCCACAAAAAGCCCTCCCCAGAGGGAGAGATGCAGACAAGTGAAATGTATACACTTTTAACTCTGATTTTCATCTGCTTTCTGTAAAACTATTATTCTCTATAATTTTTAATGAAGTTGCATTATTTCATGATAAGGTTT